CTATTACTACGACGACGACGACGACTGCTACTACTTCTACTACTACTACTACTACTACTACTACTACGACGACGATGCGACGATTACGGACTACGACTATGACGAACGACGGCGACTACTACGACTGCTGCGACCACGACGACGGACCACGGAACCAACACACACTACGAAGACGACAAAGACAGAGCCGATGTAAACTCACTTCATGTCCCTTCATGACTGGTGTTTCCCAGCTACGGGCTTGTTGATGAAGAGCTCGTAGGTTCCGAGGAAAGCCACGATTTGCCCCCATCCTTGGCCGGGGACCTGCGAGATAACAGGGGGGGGGATGGAGAATTTGCAGCTTCCTTCTTCAGTGTTTCGCGTAGTTTTGGGATTCACGGGAACCTCGTAGAGCTTAGGAGGCTTGGAGGCCAAGATCTCTCGGCGATACAGTAACTGTGGCTTTCGACGAAGATGCTCAAGTTCTCAAAGCATCAGCAGATCATGCGGAGGATGAAGTTGGGAAGGTCTACAATTCAAATCTGCAAACAAGTCAGCCTGGATTCCGGCCCAGGTATTGTTGAGACTGGAAGCCTAAAACCTGAAACCCGAAAACCTGCGGGGCCCACTGCCCTGCCTTGGTCAATGCCGCGAGACCATTCGGGATGTCGGTGAACCTTCGTGGGTTTCACGAAGAGAAATGGCAAGGTGTAGGGTTTAGGGTTTAGGCTCTACGCTTGAAGGCAGAGGCTCTTGAGGGCAGCTGCTGGTGATTGTGTCAAGCCTTCGGGGGTCGATATCTCGATCCTGGGATGAGGAGACTCTTACTGTGGAGTTTCTGACAGTCTGAAATTGTCGCGCTTGGCTCTACAGAGGCTCTCGCCGAGTTCCGGGCGAAGTCTCCTACACTTTTCGTCGACCCCTAAGCCAACAAGAACCCAAACAAATCCATCAACAGCTCATATGCTTCGCTGCGAAAACATCAGACAGACGGCGACCTGCCTTGCGCTTCTGCCCCTTCCCACCCCAGCAACAGCACCGGAGACGGATCTCAGGGCCTTAGTAACCCAACCCTTAGCACCGCAAGACCTAACCCTTTAAGCAAACCCGAAACTCCATAGCGGTCGAGCGTCTTGAGGCCCAGCTTCGGGGAGAGCTCACCAGGCCAGCGGAAATACTCCGGCACGATGTATCCTCGGTTCTATCAAGGTATCGAGGAAAAGGTCTTTATGGTGTGATTTTTAATCCAGGGTTCAGGGTTGCATCATCAGGGAAAACTCTCTATGGTTTTGACTCAAGGGTTTGGGGTTTCGTGATCGATTGGGTTTCGGCATTGAACCCTGCTTCCCGAATCCTCTGCAAAGCACGGTTCGGGGTTTAGGCCCGTTTAGGCGCCTTGAAGGGGAACACCCAACCGCCCCAACCTCGTTTGGGACCAGAGCCTGCGCTCTCCCCTCCTGTATCGTATCAACATCCCACCTTACATGCTGTACGTCGCTGGGGACTTCAGACCCCGGAGGGACTGGGGTGGGTTCGCCCCTGACCACTTCAGTAACTACCATGAGGCTTCAATTTGAACAACGGATTGCTTAAGGCCAGGGGAGTTGCCCCTTCAACGCCAGCGTGAAGGACTGAGTGCATGTCGAACTAACAGTGACAGAAATAGTATTCCTTGATCAATCATAGTAATCATAGACCAAGCGGCCGATCGTGGCATACATGGAGATTCTGCCGTGCCTGAGGATTCGGCGGCACTGGTTTCGGGTTACCGTCTACAGTGTGCACCCGACAGACTGCTGTGGCCATCTATATCAACAGTTCCTATGGGAAGGAAGAACCAGCACGAACCCCAAACCCTAAACCCTAAGTCGGCTTTGGGCTGGTTGCCCGTGGGGACAATTACGGCAGCGTTGCAATGTTGGCGCTACTTCGTATGGCGAACCTGCTTTCCTGCCACTTATGGAGTGCCCCTGCTGCAAACCACAAGCGCTTCAAGACCCACGGAGCCACGGTAGATGCAATAAAATGTAGCACAAGGGGCCTAATTGGACAGGATAGAGTGTGATGATATGGCTTGACCAAGGTTGTACTATGTTGTACTGTAGACCCTATATTGTTGTTGGGCTACAGTATTACCAAATCCATTGACGTCGTCTTCAGGCCTGTATTCTTCTTAACTGCGAAATCCCGATCCACGAACTGCTGCCATGTTGCTTGAGCTCCACTTCGCGGCGGCGCTTGAACACCTCGGGGGTTGCTCTGAATTGGAGGATGTCGGGCTTCGTGTATGTTCAGAAATCTAAACCCTATAAGCTTCTAGGAACCCCCAGGAATGCTTTGAGGAACCCAAGTCTATCTTGGGCCCCGGATTTTCGGAAGCTCCCATCAACTGCAAGGGTGTAGTCGACGACCCGAAACCCGGAACCACCAAAGAAAGCATCTCGATCTGACTCGATCTACAGAAGGAACCTAAACCCCAACCCTCACTTGTCAAGTCTCCCCAGGGAACACCAAAGGTTCACCTTTCGGATTAGATGGGGATTATGGTACCCCTCCAAAACATGAAAGCTGAGTATTAGGTGCTCTACTACTAAGATATCCCAAAGTCACGAGGTACCCCCAAAAAGATCGAAGCTTTATCTCCTCTACCAGTAATAGTTTAGGGTTTAGGGTTTAGGGTTTAGGGTTCAGGGTTTAGGGCTACAGTAAGATACCCTAAGCCAACTAACTCCACCTCGGTGTCGCCGTCGGCGGAGAGCCCCAGAGGGTCCCAGAAGCCGACAGGGGCCTTCGGTCTTGAGTTTTAGATTTCTTGGATTTTCGGGTTTTTGTCGTTTTGTTTTTTTGGGTTTCGGGTTTTGTAGCTGTACCCTAAACCCTAAACCCTAAACCCTGTAGTTCTGTTCGAGTCTGGGGGTTTCGGCTTCAGTCGGTTTTAGTTTCGGTTGTAGGCTCTGTTTGCCTGCACCTCGGGCTTTTGTAGGGCTCTCTTGCGTCGGCGCTGCTTCACCGCACTTCCGTGATATGAGGAGCCAGCGGCGCCAGAACAAAAAAGTAGCAGACGTAGCATGGATTAGTGAGTTGCTATTCCATTACTATGGCTATAGTGATATGGTGATAGTGATGTAAGTTCATGACTGGCCAGTAACTAATTCTGACCCTGAGTCACGCAACGGTAGTGGCCGATTAACGGTTGCAACTCTGCGTCTCAGATTGAAAGCTTCTTATAGCTGTGGGCAACCGGTCAATTTTGTATGTATTGCCCGTCCCACTGGGAGCTCCGCCAGAGTAACTAGAGAGTGCAACGAGTCCACCGCAGACAAAACCACGAAGACCGCCCAAGGCCATGAATCTGCCTGTTATCCGAGGATATGGGTGGTTGTCAAAATTAGGGTCCCTTTTTGGGTACCCTAAATATTAGGTGCCGTATTATATTAGGGACCCAAAAAGGGACCATAATTTTGACAACCACCCATAGAGCAATCTAGGACCTCCATCCGAAAGAACCTGAAGCAAGCAACCAGGGAACGAGTAGCCAGGAGCAAGCATGTAAGAACGAAGCCATGAACAACAAGAGCAGCATACGGAGCAGGACCGACATCAAAGTAACGGTACATTGGGAGGAGGCACGATGCCATAAGCTTCTGACGAACCGATGCTAAGTTACCACCGGCATTGTCTCCGTCATCGCGAGGAGGCCATGGCCATCACCACCATGACCCTCATCATCTCCATCGATGTCAGCAGCCAAACGTAAGCAGTAAAGCTGCATAAAAGGCCCAACCCGCCAGCCTGCACTCCCAACTCACCCTCGAACGCCCGGAGAGGCGAGGCGGTGTAGAGCGACCAGTCCTGTGATAGCATCTAGGATGCTACCGTGCAAGTCTAGGGCTGGAATGGGCAAACAGGAGAAGTTGCAGAACCTTGGCTACTAGTACGGGGATTTACGCATCTGAAGGGGTTGTGGGAGTTCGGGGGCTAAGGCCCAGAGTCTTTCATGCTTTCGTTGTGCTCTCTGGAGTCTTAAGATTTTGGCTGTCAGTTTCAGCTCACAGGCCAAACCAAGCTGAAGTGTTAAAGTTCAAGATGGGTGTACATGAAGGCCAGAAAGCTTTCGAAGTTCACAAGCCCAGCTGCGATGTGGTTAAGCCTTACCGCCACCCCCCCTAGCTAGAAACTCAGCTCATGTAGGGGCCCCCAAACTAATATTGGTAATCATTTAGGCCCTATAGTACTAAGTCTTAAAGGGCAGAGGAACCGGTTTAGAAACATCCAAGCCAGGGGGCACCCCACGCGGAACCGGTGAGGCCATCCTGGAAGAACATACCTTGGGGCATTCAGGGAAGGTGGGTTTTGTAAACCAGAATGTGGGATATACGGCTTTCGGGCTGCGTTTCCCCACAAACCGCGGTGATTCTGCAAGGCTGGTGGATCAGGAGACGTGTCCGGAGCGCATGATGCTGGCTCAAGCTCGGCAGTTGGAGTCACAGCAATCAGCATGTCGAGCAAAAGGAACCTACCAATCTATGATGCTCTTCATTGAGCGTGCTGTCCGTTTGAGTTGCCTGTGCTGTCAGGAAGTTCGAGAAACTTCGAGCGGGCTTGCGACGCCAAGGTGCCGATGATCGCCATCATGGCCAGTCGGCCGTTGGCAAGCTCCGCATTCAGTTTCTTCTTACGGGCCTGCAGTCAGTGCTGATGTCGGGAAGAGCCCACATAAATCGTACAGCACCCTCAGTCGAAGCCTCCGGATCCGTGATGCCGGTGTTCATGATACCCACAGACCTGCGCTCTTGGTTCCTGTGGGGCTCTTTCACTTCGCCGACAGCTCGCTAAAGCAGGGTGTAAGTTCTGTGGCCCAATGGGCCCTTCGGGCCTATACGCCCCAAAGCCTGAACCTCATGCTTTCCTGGGTATCTTCGCGCTACTGGAACTACATGGATGTAGGTGGAGAAGAGGGACTAGAAGTAGAACTGTCGTGAACAGTTCAGGCCCTGAGCAGCTTTCAGGCCTTGCTGCCAGTTCATCACCATGATCATGGACATCGTCATCATCATGGTCACCGTCATCATAGTATTCAGCATCAACATGATCAACCTATATCAACATATATCAACCTCCGCGTCATCATCATGGTCATGGTCATGGTCATGGCCATCGTCATGGTCACGGTCATCGTCATCACCATCGTCATCGTCCTCGTCATCGTCGTCATCATCATCGTCGCCATCGTCACCATCATCGTCATCATCAAGGTTGGACCTTGGAACCCTGGGAACATGTTCGTAGATAAGTTCCTCCATTTCAGCACCAACAGTAAACATGTGGAACTTCCTAATGGCCTACCACGTCCATCTCCGCCTCATCATCACCATTCCTAAACTGCAATAGTCAATACCAGCACGCAGAGAGTCTCGCATAACTAGTAGTAGTGTCGACTATACCCCAAGCCCTACTCTAATGACTAAGGCGCCTGGAATCCACAAGTATTAAAAGTTTTAACGCTCTCTTCAGAAGGGCGAGGAACCCACCAAGGCACCCTGGTGATGAACTGATGTTATTCCTTGCTGTTCCTTGTTCTATTTCTACATTTAATGGGCTCCGAAACCCAGTTCTAATGACTAATCCCGCCCCACAGTAATCTAACTCTTAGTGCCCCTTCGTAGCTGCCATTGCTGCTAAGTGGCCTCAACCCCAGGAAACCGGCGCCGTAGTTGCCGGGCTCGTTGTTGACCTAAGTCTTAGAGTGTAGAGTTCAGATGTTGCGTGTTTAGGGATTAGAGTTTAGGGGATTTAGGGTTTAGCGTGCTAGGGTAAGGTCGAGCTTAGGGCTTTTGTGGCGAGTGGGGGGGTTCCTGCAAAAGGGTCTATGGACAGAGCTAAGAGGACTTCGAGGTTTCTTTATTTGGAGCTCTGTGTCTAGTTTAAAGGTTTTAGGATTTAGAGTTTAGGGTGTAGGGGGTTTGACAAGGGTTCCACAAGGGGTCTCATGCTTCATCGATGGGCTCTTGTGCTTTCCCGGAGTCCTTGGAGGATGCTATCAGGGTCTTGGGGCTTTAGAAAGGCATTTAGGGGTGCCTAAGGGCGTAGGATTCAGGCTCAAGGGGGTGGGTCTTTGAAGGGTTTAGGGTTTAGGTTTTAGGGGATCCATGTCTATGGGGTTCGGGCTGGGAGCTCGCTCAACGTCTGTTGCTTTGCTTTAGAAGGGGGGCCCACTAGGCCTTGGAGTCCAGTTTGGAGCTGGGGTTGGGGCATGAAGGTCGGCTTCACCCCAACCCCAGAGACTCCAAAAACACATCTAAACTAAGGGTAAGTAACCAAGATTAGAGGCGTATAAAGTAAGATGCATATTCCTGAGTTCAAGGGCTTTGGAGTCTCTGGGAAGGCACCTGCTCGTTGTAGATGTTCACCTCGACGATTCCTGCGAAGCCCACGATCTGCAGCCAGCCGAACGCAGGGACCTGACAGCTCTGTTACCCAAAAGTTTCCCCAGCTCAGCATCGAGGCTTTGTACCTTCTTCCAGATTCTGGTGTAGGTTACGGAAGGGTTCAGAGTTCAGGGGCCTCGACCACCTCAGGCAAAGGAAAGCTCAAGTCGAAAGGGCATTGTACTGACCCTTCGCTCAAAAAGGGCAAAGTACGAGATTCCTCCACGAAATCCGCCAAAACCAGGAGACCAAGTCCCCCCATCCCCCGGACTCATTGAGATTGAGCGTGGGCGGAGGAGAGAACAACCACGAGGAACAACGGCACTGGTTAAACTATATATTATGCTACATTTATAATATATAAGGAAACCAACCGAAATTGTATAGGTCATTTTTGGAGCAGCGGTATTCGTTTCAATCCGAAACAGAAAAATGCAAGGGCACCTTGCTGAAAGCGCTGAGGCCGTTGGGGACATCTGCAAACCTGCCAATGTGTACGTCTTAGGCATTCTAAGATCTTGCTGGCATGATTGTCTATCTGGGCACGGCATGTCGATGATTACAATTTCCTAATATATAGGGGCCTTAATAACTAGAATAGGGTTTTGGGGTATATTCCANNAGGTACTTGGAGAGGTAGCCGGGGAAGCGCCAGTACTCCGGGAGGATGTAGCCAATGGTCGCAAACATGGCCACGCGGCCATGCCTTTTGGAGAGCAAAATACCCCAAAAACCCAAAACCCAAAGTACAATTTTGTACGATGGAAAGGAAGAAGCAAAAAAGGAAGACTCATGGAAGAGTCTCATCAACATGTCGCCTCACGAAGCTAAAGTGTCCTTTTTTGGCGCCGATCAGGGAGCAGAAACTTCTGGCCCTACACCCTACACCCCAAGTAGCCAAGAAGAGGTTGCAAGAACGTACGTAAAGGTATGTATACAAAGTTGTCAACGAGGACTGGTCGGAATCAGCCTACTTTGAGATCCCAAGCCTCGCAAGGCCCGTGGAAGCTGCAACACAGACGCAAGCACAGCCCTAAACCCTAAAAGGCCCTAACCAGACCCCTTCGCATTTTTTGGGGGAGCCGCACACTTCACCTCGCGGCCTCAGGAGGAGGAGCCGAGGCCCCAACTCCCCCCTAAACCCCCTCAACTCCTACGTTTGGGATTTAGTAACCAAGTGCTTATCCCAAACACCTTCTTTGGGTTTAGGGTTTACTGTTTAGGGACCTACACCCTAAGAGAACTGCTTCCCAGCTGCTTCAGTTCCACCTCGCGTCGGCGAGAGAAGTCAGCCATGTTGCCGCTAGAGGCAAGTCCCAGAGGGTCCCAAAAGCCGACCTCCGAGGTTTCGAATGTAGGGGCCTTAATAGTTAAAATCGGGTTTTGAGAGGTCTTTGCTATATCTATAGTACAACATACCCCAAAACCCTATTCTAATTATTAAGGCCCCTTTAGTATCAGGGCGCGATAAGAAGTGTAGTAGGAGGGTACAGGGTGCTAAGGCTACGGGTGCTACAAGTACAAGGGTTGTAGTAGACGTTCTACAGGGGTGCGGAGGCTACACGGGTTTGACTAGGGGTTCTACCAGGCTGGTAAAGTTTCTCTCAGCTTACTTACTACAAGGGTTCGAATCCGAGGGGTTCTACAAGGGTGTGTGGATCAAATCAACCTTTCCCTCGCAGTTTCTCAAGACTCAAGATAGGGGACTCCAAATAATATAGCAGAACCGATATACAACACCTCCATGGAGTCCTGTAGGAACCACATCACCAAGCTCCATGAATCGAAAGCCCTGGAATCCATCGAATCCTGCAGGAAAACTTCTACAACCCTCTGAAACCCTTCTTGAAGAACGCATCCCCAACCGCGGGGAGACACCCTAGAAGCCCAAGAACTGATCTGACTTATGTGGCATCGTCGTAATTGCTTGCGGGTCCTATTTTTCAGGGTCTACACTGGGGTGACGGGGAGTTGGCGAAGGGAGGGGCAGCTATCGATGTTGATAGCTGTCTGTCAAAGGTTCGTGTTCGTGTTATGATTCCTCTGCGTGTTTGGCAAAATAGTTATCTGTTCACTGTTCTCGGCGTCGTGGATCCATAATATGATGCGATCCTAAAACCACCTGTGCGAAGATGGCTTCGCATTCTGCTTCTAATAGGCGCCACTGCAGCTAGCATTGACAATACCATCCGCATTCTGCATGCAGCTTCCACTGAGTTTATTAAGGCAAAGTTGCCTCCACTCTTAATAGAAGCTCTTGAACAAGAAAAAACAGCTCCCAACCCTCCTTGAACTCCTGGTTTCCTCTCAAACACCTAGACACCTAAAACCCTAAGCCTTAAACTCCTAAACCCCTAAACCCCAAACCCTAAACTAAGCCCTAAGCCTCTTAGGTCTCGGTTTTTAAGGGTTTTGTCAAACGAGCCGCGGGGGGCTGCACGCCGGTCTCATCCTCAAAGGCACGGAGGGGCGACTCCGTGTAGTTGGCCCTTGGTTCAAAGTCGAGGCTGCTCCCGAAGTTCTTAATATAACAGCCTTATAGAAATAGAATAGGGTTTTGGGGCCCCTTTTACTACAATTATCATAAGGAACCCCCAAAATAGCATAGGTAATTATTAAGGCCCCTATAGTAGGCTATGTAGGCTTTTGATTGCTTTTAGCTTGTGCTTGGCTTTTCGGGTTTAGGGCTTGGGGACGTTTGGGGTTTTGGGTTTAGGTTAGTCTTATTCTTGGTGTTTAGGGCTCAGGGCTGCTGTCGCCTCTGCAAGAAAAGAGATCCTACCCTAAACCCTCAAAGCCCTAAAGGCACGAAAAAGTTACAAACTTAAATCCTAAACCCCCATCCCCAAATCCAAAACCCCACGAAGACAGGGTTTTGGGGGTTCCTTCTTATAATTCCAGTATAATATACACCCAAACCCTATTCTGATTATTACGGCCCCTATACTAATACCCCCCCAAAGCCACACACCCTACGCTTCACAAGGACCTTGGCGCCTGCTTGACTCAGGGAAAGTTCCGATCCCCACAATGTACAACTGGCATCAAAAACGAGAACGTCTGCGACCACTCCCAGACAAGGCACGCCTAAGCAACATAATGCAGGGGCATCAGTACTTAAACTATCGTTTAGTTTTGTGTAAGGGCTGCCAGGGATCCACCTGAACCTAGGGATTATAGGGACTTTCGTCATGACAATGACCACAATGATAGTAATAAATAGCAAAAATCATGATAATGTTCATCATAATGCTGATAAGACGCCCCAATATGCCAGCAGGCATTGTCTGAATTCATGGTGGGGTCCGGAACACCCGGGTCTGTAATAAGTTAAGTAAGAGGAA